AAGGGCACATAAACTACAAAACAAGCAACCCGTTGTTATGATGTTTTTTATTTCTTGTATTCAAACTCCATCCATCATTTGAAGTGATGCCAAATTTGTTGATTTGAATTTTGTATCTTGGAACGTTTAAAAAAAGAAAAGAAAACGAAAGTCTAGAAAATTATGACCACAAAATTGAATTCGAAATTAATGATCCGTTCCCCCCCCCCCCCCCGGGGCGGCGGTCGGTTCATCATCCTTTGGGTCGGTGCCAAAATGTTTTGCTTTTGAATTCTTCCATATATATTGTGAACCACGTGCGCAGTACCACAACCACACGATCATCCAAATGTCCACAATGACATGTTAATCACAACACAAGCTTTTGCCACATTAATTCTTTGTCCTTTTTCTGGTTGCATTATTGTGTCACCGTGATGACGATGTCGAGTAACATTATTGCCGCCTTCATTAAATCTCCTCCGTGCATCCCATGCCTCCCGAGCCTATAAGTATTTGGTCCTCAGAAACTCACCCAAAACTGCACCCATTTTCAAATCAATAAATCAACTCAATTTTTTTCCTTTTCTGGTACAAATTATAATCAAGCATGTGGAAGTACATGGTTGTAATTTGCAGCCACTTAAGCTCGTTGCTCAACATCTTGCTTTACCATTCCTTCTTCGGACATTCTCATGATCACTGCTTTGGTTTCCCTTCAGAGAAAACCATAGCGCCATCGTCGCTCAGCACAGTTCACTACAAACCCGAGGCTTCTGGGACCAGCGACGAGAGTCCTGCGGAGTGTGCGGTGTGTCTATGCAAGATTGAGGAAGGAGATGAGGTTAGAGAACTGAGATGTGCTCATCTCTTTCATAAACAATGCTTGGACCGGTGGACCGGGTTTCAGCATGCCACGTGTCCCCTCTGCCGCAGTTTTCTAGCTCCCCCGAGAAGCACCTTAGTATCCCATTCCCAGCAGTTTCTTCAATCGGAAGTGCTGCTATTCAACTATTGTCAAGGATATATAGAGATGGAGGAAATATTATATATATATATATATATATATATATATATTATATTTGCATGTCTAATTAACACTTGTGCATCTGTATGACGAAAGATGTTTCCTTGCTCGGTCAAAAATCTTGGTGTAGATAATCAGCGTGTAATAGTTTTCTATGTTTTCTCTTCATTCAGTCAGTAGCATTTGCTTCCGACCAAAAAAAAAAAAAAAAAAGTCAGTAGCATTTGCCTTTTAATAATATTTTGTGAACAAAGGTAATTGAGAAATATATGACAAAAAAAGAAAAAGAAAAGGTGATTGAGCATCTAAATATTTCATTCATCATCTGCCGCTACAAAATTAGTTTAATTATGAGTCTCATCTCATGGTGACGTGCGATCGAGAATGATAACATATATCAAGAAGTGAGTATTTTTGGTCACCAAAATTATCCAAGGTGTATGCTTATCACATTTTTCAATACATTATCCAAATACATAACCGTAGTTACATAATACAAAATAAAAAGCTAACCATAGTTATGCCTATTGACATGTGTTAAAGAAGAATAATGAGAATACACCTTGAGTTAAAGTGGTGAACAAAAATATTTCATAGACAAGGAATTGGGTAGTAAGGGGCGGCACCCTGGACTCCCAAAAAAGGCTTTGCCTTCCTAGTCGCTAACTAAGCTCCTACTTTTCCATTATTCTTAGGATTGAACTATCTAGCCCATATTAGCTCCTAAATTGTTGCTTTGTTTCCCAAAAGGATATGATTAAAAAACTGCTCTTGCAAATAGTGGCGGATCTAGAATTCTCAGGTCATAGGGTCACAGTGCAAAAGTGTTGAAATTTTTTAGGCTAAACTGTTAAAGCATTTTGTAAAACAAATGAGTCATTTTTTATCCCATTTTTTTTTAAATGTAAAAATAATAATACTTTTTTTTAAAAGAGCGCGCGCACACACATACACACACACTAATACTCTACCATGAACCCTAACCTACCCTAGAAACCCTCTGTCTAACAAGCGGAAGAAGAAGTTTTTTATTTTTATTTTTTTGGAGAACTCCTTTATAGATAAATTCATCACTAAAATTTAAGATTTTGAGCTATTTCTTCTTCCTTTTCTTTGTGTGTCTTTTAAGATTTCCAGATAATTATTTCCTACGAATCATTTTTAATTTCCAAATAAAAATCTCAATAATCACATCAACACATAATAAAGCAAGAAACAATAATAATAAATCAACTTTTTAGAGCAATAATTTAATTAAAGGATCAAGGAACAATAAAACCTGGATTTATGTACTTGCTTGCTGAATGAAATGAACATATTTTCAATTAACAAAAAAAGAAATGAACATATTTTTGAGTTAGAGACTTAGACCAGCCCGTTTGACCAAAAAAAAGAAAAATGAACAAAGGTAATTGAGAAATATATGACAAAAAAAGAAAAAGAAAAGGTGATTGAGCATCTAAATATTTCATTCATCATCTGCCGCTACAAAATTAGTTTAATTATGAGTCTCATCTCATGGTGACGTGCGATCGAGAATGATAACATATATCAAGAAGTGAGTATTTTTGGTCACCAAAATTATCCAAGGTGTATGCTTATCACATTTTTCAATACATTATCCAAATACATAACCGTAGTTACATAATACAAAATAAAAAGCTAACCATAGTTATGCCTATTGACATGTGTTAAAGAAGAATAATGAGAATACACCTTGAGTTAAAGTGGTGAACAAAAATATTTCATAGACAAGGAATTGGGTAGTAAGGGGCGGCACCCTGGACTCCCAAAAAAGGCTTTGCCTTCCTAGTCGCTAACTAAGCTCCTACTTTTCCATTATTCTTAGGATTGAACTATCTAGCCCATATTAGCTCCTAAATTGTTGCTTTGTTTCCCAAAAGGATATGATTAAAAAACTGCTCTTGCAAATAGTGGCGGATCTAGAATTCTCAGGTCATAGGGTCACAGTGCAAAAGTGTTGAAATTTTTTAGGCTAAACTGTTAAAGCATTTTGTAAAACAAATGAGTCATTTTTTATCCCATTTTTTTTTAAATGTAAAAATAATAATACTTTTTTTTAAAAGAGCGCGCGCACACACATACACACACACTAATACTCTACCATGAACCCTAACCTACCCTAGAAACCCTCTGTCTAACAAGCGGAAGAAGAAGTTTTTTATTTTTATTTTTTTGGAGAACTCCTTTATAGATAAATTCATCACTAAAATTTAAGATTTTGAGCTATTTCTTCTTCCTTTTCTTTGTGTGTCTTTTAAGATTTCCAGATAATTATTTCCTACGAATCATTTTTAATTTCCAAATAAAAATCTCAATAATCACATCAACACATAATAAAGCAAGAAACAATAATAATAAATCAACTTTTTAGAGCAATAATTTAATTAAAGGATCAAGGAACAATAAAACCTGGATTTATGTACTTGCTTGCTGAATGAAATGAACATATTTTCAATTAACAAAAAAAGAAATGAACATATTTTTGAGTTAGAGACTTAGACCAGCCCGTTTGACCAAAAAAAAGAAAAAAGAAAAAGACTTGGACATTGGCTTACTTTTCTTTATTTTGTTTTTTGTTGCTTCAACTACATGCCCATCACTTTGTGCTTAGTGCTGCATCAGCTTTGTGCTTAGTGCTGCATCAGCTTTGTGCTTAGTGCTGCATCAGTATCTGGCCTACCACTTTTTATTTTTCAAGTTTTTAGTTGCAGCAAAGGCTGCTTTCTCCGCTGCGTGCTTCCACTTCTCTTCTACTGAAGTTGTTCCTTTTTCTGCGCCGCAGGCCTTTCTGGCCTTTCGTCGAGCATCTTGTGTGCATTTGAGGTCCACGCATGGGGTCGTCTCAGACCTCCACAGGCTGTCCACAGCCACATTTTCGGCCATCTCATGGGGTCATGTGACCCCTCTTGTCCTTGAATGGGTCTGCCCCTGCTTGCAAGCTGCTTTTTAGAGCTCCATTATTTGGATATCAAAAAATTCCCGGGCGAGGGCCTTTTGATTTTCATAAATATTTTCAGAGCTTCCGAGATTCTCCCTCACCAGTCGGGCATAGCCCCCATCAGACAGTTGAGACACCTGCCATTATAATATAATCAAATTTTTTTTGGTCTGAACATAATATAATCAAATTGATCGTGGATATATAAACAAATTGATCTTGTAGAAGGTCAAATCATGTGTTTTGGATGTTTCTCATTTTCCCACATGTACGGTAGAGAATTGAGATGAGAGATGTGCTCATCTCTTTCATAAACAATGCTTGGACAAGTGGACCAGGTTTCAGCATGCCACGTGTCCCCTTTGCTGCAGTTTTCTAGCTTCCCGCGAGAAGCACCCTAGTATCCAGTTCGTAGCAGTTTGATCAATCGGAAGTGCTGCTATTCAAGTTTTGTTCTTTCAGTTCGTACAGTGATCATGGCGGTAGATGGTGTGGCTACGTTGAAAAAATAGTCCAGAATCATAGTCAAAAGAGAGAGAATGAGATGTTAAAATATTATACAGTGACCAAAATTTTCAGTTAGATCTCACAAAATTTTGCCGGATAAAGCACATAAAAATATTATTCGTACTTTTCCAGTTCTTTATTTTACTAATTATTGGATATTAACAAAAAATCATATCATAATCCTAAAAAAAATATAGAGATGAAATAATTGGAATTTTGAATTGACTCGGAAATCAAAATTCTAATTATATTAATATAATCAAGTTTTTAATAATCGTATCTGAAAACAAATTTCACTGTATTTGATAAAAGATAAAATCTGATTCCTTTTTTCTAAGGTAAATAAAATCCGGTACAAATTATATACTTTCTTTATACACTTAGGGTTTAGGATTCTTTCTTTATATACTTTCTCTTCTTAACCATAGACAAATTATCCACTCAATATAGCCCATTGATTACCCCAGAACAATGAGCGGGCCACTTATTTTATGATTAGGGCTTTTTGGTTTTCCTATAAATACGATGGAAAACCCTAGCAAAAGCATCACATCTCTCTTGGTTTATTCTTCTTGGAATCTTGTATTCTCTTGTTTCATGGGTTCAAGGGTTACTTTGAATGATTTTTTCACTTGTGCGTTGGAGGTCCCTGAACGGACCAGAGAAAGTCCTCCAAGGAATATGGAAGCTTATCATGATCATGCAATCCCGGAGCTCCCAACCGAAATCATATTCACTCATATACTCCCACGACTATCACCAAAGGATCTGATGATGAGGTGCCCTTGCGTATGCAAGTCTTGGTCCTCCTTCATCCGTAGCTCTTCCTTTGTCGCCGCCTTCAGCAACTTTTGCGGAAACGACAACAACAAGAGCACTACTAACTTCCTTTTCCAAAAGTATCACCAGTTCTTGTCGTCAAAAATAGAGAAACAAGGGAATGTTTCAACACCGGCCGTCGAAATTTGCGAGGTTTTCGAATATTGTCTGTTTTATGACGGAAAAATTCAGGAATTAGGCCAATATTATCCTGATGTGCAGAGTGTCCATGGCTTGATTTGTGGATCCTCTGGCTTTCAACCTGAGTTTTTTATACTCAACCCTAGCACTCGAGAGTACATCGAACTTCCCCATGCAAAAGAAAGGCCAGTCAACCGCTATGCACATCACGGATATCACTTTGGGTTCAGTCCACTTACCAACGAGTATAAGGTTCTCCAGGTGCTTTCCTTTCGTCTAGATCAAGGAGATAAATGGGATCTTGTCTTCAACACGTTCACACTAGGTAGGGATTCTTGGTGGAGGCCATTGCAGGTAGACCATGGCGATCTTCCTTTTGATGCTCTAGCTTATGCCTCTGACTTTCATCACCAGAGAAGTACTGCCAGTGTGTGCCTCAATGGGGCCGTATATTGGATCTATGAGAAGCAGAAAATGTTAGTTGCATTTGACGTTAAAGAGGAGACATTCAAAGCGCTGCCACTCCCTGAAGATTATGATCAAGTGTTTGCTAATTAGTACGCTGATCAAGATTATGAAAACTATTCTAGTGATGATGCCAATGATTATTGTTGTCCAACTATGGTTAAGGTGGGAGGATGCGTAGGTGTGTTTGCTGACATGTCATGGAAACAGGACAAGATCGTGTTGTGGATTTTGAAGGACAATCAAAACATTGTGTGGGTTAAGGAGACCATTAGCTTGGCGTCAGAGAGAGAGTACCTTGGTTATCAGCGCTACATTGAAGCTTTGGGTACAATCCACACAGGAGAGTTTGCCCTCGTGCACTATTTTCTTGGATTTTCACCAGGATATGACGATGGTCCACCCGAATTGCGTCTTTATGATATGAAGAGCAAACAATATAGAGTAATTGATTTAGTTTTTCCTGATTATCAGCAAAATGGGGTTAATACTTTTCCAATTAAGTTAATTAATATTTATGATGATAGTATTGTCCCCTTAAAATGAGATGGATGACCTTATATTATATAGTCATGTTCCATTGTGTTCTTAAGCCAGTATAATGTTCTATTTTTGCCGTCATTTATTAGCATTATTATATAGTGTTTCTCGTTTTTTGCCCACAGTATAGCCACGTGATTTTGTTTTTATGTTTAGAGTAATGCTACACTTATCACATTTTTATCCCATATTTCTATACCACATAATATGGCATGTCCATATTATATGCCACATCAATTAAATGAATGAAGTGTATTTTAATAAATAAAATTAGAAAAACAGAAACTAGTATTTTACATGATGTGGTATGTACATATCAACTGTTACATCATGTGGTATAAAAAAGTGGTAAGACTAGTATTATTCTTATGTTTATTACTAATCTCGGATGATATATAAATTTGAAAAATGCTAAGCATACCATATTTATATACCACATTGTCTATTACCAAATTAAATCAACTTATAAGGATTAATAATATTGTTCAATTCAAAATTAACTTTTTCGTTTTAATCAAACAATGAAACCAAATCATATTCTAATCCTACAAAAAATATAGAGTCAAATAATTGGAATTTTGAATTCACTTGGAAATCAAATTTCCAATTATACGAATTTTAATATAAACAGGTTTTTAATGATCATATCTGAAAGAAAATTTCACTGTATTTGATAAAATATAAAATCTGATTATTTATTTATTTATTTATTTTTTACGGAAATAAAATTGGGTACAAATTTAGATTGGTTAGGATGCTTTCTTTCTTGGGCACTACTCTGATTTCATATTAATTGCAGGCCAACAGACCCTATGCATGTAATCCCTGTTGTCAAGGATATATTGAGATGGAGGAAACATATATATATATATATATATGGGGCGGATCCGTGGCACTACGCTTTTGACACAAGTTTTGACACAATTTTTGGGCCATTAGATTACTCCACTTTCAATAGTTGAGATTAAATATTACAAGGCAAGTAGTTTTAATTTTTTAAAATAGACAATCATTAATTTTATTTTCTCTCTCATAAAAATAAAAGAAATTTTTTCTCTCTCCAACCTTTTTGCTGGAAGACATTGCTAGAAGACGTAATCTCTCTTGCCTCTTTAATCTCAAATATTTATTAAGGTCTAATAAATAAAGAATCTCACCAAAAACTAAATGCTCAAACCACAATCCCACATTCTCTCTCTCTCTCTCTCTCTCTCTCTCTCTCTCTCAATTTTTGCCTTCTTCGTTGAGAAGAAAGCTTTGCTCCAGGTTGATATTTCAATTCGATTTTCTTCATCAGATTTGGTTTTTTTTTATTTTTATTTTTTGTTGGAATTAAACTAGGACCTCTAGATTAGGAATTTAAAGAATTAATAGTTTCCAAGGGGATTAAGTGTATTTCTTAGGTATCTATGAGTAAGCTATTCATTTCAATTTGTTTCAAATTGTTGGTAGGATTTCTTATTTTGAGGATTTGATTTAGAGATTTTAATCTTCTCATATATGAAAAATTTGACTATTACTGTTTTTTTTTCGATTAATAGGGAGAGAATACAAAGAGAAAATTTGATGCCACACCACATTCTTCAACCTCATCCCTCTTTGGGGTTGGTTTTTAGAAAAGATGGATTACCTGTGGATTGATATATGGAATTATAGTTTATGAATTGTTTTTTTCTTTCTTCTAGCTGGTGGCTTTGCATGGGCTGTCCAAAATGAGTGTTTCTTCAAATGGCCTCAACACCCTCGGTTGTACTCTGCACAGAGAGAGAGAGAGAGAGAGAGAGAGAGAGAGAGAGACGTGGGAATGTGGGATTGTATGAAGAAGGATGTTTTCTTGCTCGATCGGTCAAAAATCTTGTTCTAGATTGTTGATGCTCTTTTTCGGAGAGGGTCAACTTAGAGAAAATAAAAGGGATTTGCCTTCAGCAGGGAAAGGGTCTGGACCTTCAATAAAGGCTAGCCTGCAGAAGACAAAAATGGGAGAAGCAGTCGTTAAGCTTCGGACACCGGTGTGGTGCCGGCCGAAGGCTCTCCGATGCTTAAGTAAGCTAAGAAGGGTAACTTTTGCAGAGTAAGAGTAAAAAGTAGAAAAGTAGTTACCCTTTTCACTAGGATATTGTGCCCTCTTTATAGGGAAGTGAAAGTGGGAGATTGGTGTAGATTTTCGATGTGGGACTTTGTGCAAGTCGCCGCGGTGGTGACACGTGTCATGGGGATTAAGTTTAGCAGTTTGTGAGCTTTGGCAGTCGGGAGTTTTGGCAGGTGCTTGGCACCTCGGAAGAGTGTCTTTCTTCGGCAGGAGAAAAGGCGTGTCTGCCTTGGTGTTAGTCATTTTGAGGCTTGATATGCTCGGTTGATTATGGTGTAAACAGTAGTCCCCCAAGTTCGGGGTCAAGAAGTGACTTCTGGGTTGGGAACTTGTGAGTTTTTGTGTAATCATGACCGAGCATTCCAGGTTTAGTGGGCGCCGTAGGGCAGTCCCTAGTCCCCCAAGTTGGCAAGCCAGAAGTTGCGTGTAACGCTTGGAAGGTATGATAGAAGCTGTGTTAGCCTCTGGGACTGTTGGTAGCTAGGTACCTGGACCTTTGGCAAGTCCTTAGAGCCAGGCCCTTGTGTTTCGGGAGTTAGGCTCTGGCAAGTGGAGGATTTGGGTAAGCCATTTCTTACTTCAATGCTCCTTGCCGTTCAACAATTTTTTTATTTTTTTTATTTTTTATGGCTAGGCCCTTCGCCAGGTCCCAATGGTTTGGGTGTGAGCCCGTGAGGGCCTGGGTCATGGCCTTTAGGTGGGTCCTGCAAGAATATGAGCTGGGGTCTTGAGGATAGATCCGGATTTTTGGGGGCTAGGTAATTCCATTTTTAAAGCGTAGCTGGGCCTTTGGGGTTTTATAGCTAGGGTCGGCCCATGGGGTACCTAGAGCTTTGGCAAGCCTTCTTTTTTTTTTCTTTGTTTTTTTTTTTTTGAATGAATGTTGAGGGCCTGGGCACCGTTGGTGAGCAATAGTTGGCAGGTGAGCTTTGAATTGTCAAGACATGACCCCTGCCGTTCGGCAAGGGGTTTGAGATCATCTACCTCTGAGCTTGGGTCAAAGTGGCTTGGGTTCCCGAGGCTTGGTATGTGTTAGGCAGCTGACCTGATTTTTTTTTTTGGGTCTTGGCAAATAATGGGCTGTGGCGAAAAGCTGGGCCTTGAGTAAGGTGTGTTGGTACGCATAATATTAGTGCTAGGTTGTCTGTGCTTCGATAAGATAGCTAGGTCCTCTTTGCTTCGACAGGTGATTAAAAAAAAGATATAGAGCTAGGGTTTTGGAAATAAATTTGTGCCAATCTTCATTAGTTCCAGACTTGCCGCAGCTTTTGTTTATGCCATCACCTTCTGCGTCTTTGAGATCGTGAGGCTGGGTCAAAGTCGGGGCCAAAATTTAGAGCCCGAGAGTTGTTCCCCTTAGTCTCTGCTCAACCATTGCCGAACGGCAGGGGTTGATTGAAGATTTCTAGAGGCCCCGGTGTGTCTTCGGCGAGGGTTGCCATTTTCCTGGTGTTGGTGTCGGGTCTTCTTGATCTTCGGCAAGGACGAGTTTGAAGAAGGCTCTAGCGCATTCGATAACAGGGTTTCTCGACCCATCAATTTTTCAATCACCCACTTTCCTTCCCCACAGCCCTTACCGTTCGGCAAGGGTGTGCATTTTCCTTAACGGCCTCCGTGGAGGCTGCCTTCGAAAAGATGAATTTTTGTGGGTTTGAGTCTTGAGATTTGAGGAGTCTGCAAGTACGGGTTTGCGTTGGGTTGCTTGCTAGGAGCTGGGTCCTTAGCGGGTCAGCAAGAAGCATTTGTTGAGGGGGCTGCCATCGTGACCTGGAACCGTGACTGGTGAGCTGTTTTGCATGCCCCCTGAATTCCGTACGGTGGTTACCGTTCGGCAATGCCCATCCGAGACTAATGTTGATTATGCAAGTAGGGTCTTCGGCAACTCGGGACAAACTGGAGCTGATCCTTTGGTGAGACTTGGGTAGGCTGAATGAGCGTGAACTGAAGCTGGGCCTTGAGCATTTGGCAAGGTGAGTTCGGCAGTTTTGGGTTTTGTCAACCCCTTTTGCTTTGCTCAGCCTCAAGACCTGGGCTTTGGTCAAGCATTGAAGCCCTCAAATTGAGTCTACACAAGCCTTGCCGTTCGGCAAGGTCCTCGATTTCCCTCTGTTTTTTTTTTTTTTTTTTTATAACTTGGAATTTGAAGTTCAAATTGTTGCAGGTACAAGGGTTTTGAGAGGGAAGGTGAAAGGGTGCTAGGGTTTTGCTAGCTTTATAAATAGGAACTTGGAGTGACGTAGGCATCACACTTGGAGATTTTTTAGAAAGATTTCCAGAAAGTGAAAAGGAGAAAGATTTCCAGTGAGATTTTGGTGGTGGTGCTAGGGCCAAGGAGATTTCCGGCGAATTTCCGTGGTGGTGCAAACAAGGTTAGACCTCATTTCCCTTGAATTTTCGAAATGAAACTCAACTTTTGGTATGAACATGTTCAAGATTAGGATGGACACCTTGAGTATGAGTATGAACATGTTGAATGTATGCATCTAGATCAAAAAGCATGTGGAGGTCGTCTGATTTTGTGCTTTTGTGTTTGGATCCTCCTTGCATGTGCATTAGTTCCCTTTTCTTGTTTCTGCATGTTGTAGATGTTTGAGAGTGAAGAGGCCAGTGAGTATATTTGTTCTGAAGATGAGAGTTCCCAGACAGAGGGTTTTGTAGAAGGGCTTATAGAAGCTAGGATGGTAGTTCATGAGGGTGAGATGGCTGGGCCATCAGTAGAGTGTGAGTCAGAGGCATATAGGGAGATGCATAAGAAGTATAAAGTGTTAGAAGCCAGTGTTGATCGGGTTCTAGCTTTGGCACATACACCGGAGGTGGGCTCGAACAATCAGACATCACCATCAGAGTCTGTGGGTATAGCCGTGGCTTCAGCTTCAGAGGGGGTGGACATCCGGGTTGGTGTCCCGTTGGCAAAGCGGAATACGCTGACAGAAGCGAAGTTGGTTGAGCTTCGGATAGATTATAGTGTGCCACCCTATGTGGGCCTGAGGTTACCCAGTGTTACGGATGTAGTGAGATATCCTCCGGAGGGTTCAGTGATGATATTCATCGATATGTAGCTGTAGGGTCTCAGACTCCCGTTTCAGCCGTGGGTTCAGATGATGCAGGCCAAGTTGGGGTATGCGCCGTGGCAATACAATCCCAACTTTTGGCTACTTCTGCATGGAGTTTACATTGCTTGGTGGTTGGTTGGGTTAGGGGAGCCAACATTTGAGCAGTTTATGTACTTGTATTCGATCTCCAAGCAACATGGAACTTTTGGCTGGGTACAAGCCAATTGCCGGAAGGCAAAGGAGAGAGGTTATTTTATTGGGCATAAGCCGAGTATGCAGAAGTCTTGGCGGAACAGATGGTGCTTAGCCTATGGTGATTGGGAGTGTCCTCCAGGGAAGACCGTCTCCAGACACATTCCAACCCACTTCCAGTCTATAGGTCCTTAGCCCCATCCCTTAAGACTAGTTGTGTTGTAGTGTTTTGACGCCTGGGTCTTTATATATATATATATATATATTTTTTTTTTGGGCTTGTGCAAGTATAAATGGCTAAGTTGATATCTAAACTGTGGTGCAGGTTCGGTGAAGTGGGGACCGATCTCCAAGGAGCGAGAAGACGAGGTTGAGAGAGTGAGGTCACTGTTGTCAGAGACCCAGCGTGAGCGTAGAAACTTAGTTACCCAGAAGAACCTGTACGAGTCCGGACTCTTGCAAGGGAGTAAGTACTTGGGTCACTGTTGTTGTTTATCCTATGAATCTTTTTGTAGTTGAGACTAACTTGGTTTTTGATGTGCAGTGGCAGGGATCATAAGGGGAAGCACAAAGGTGACCATGGATCTGGATGATCCCGAGATGCAGAAGCGGCTGAGGGAGTCTCGGGCCAAGAAGGCGGAGAAGGGAGGTGCTCAACAGGCTGCTGGGAGGCGTCCCAGAGATGATGAAGGCCTGGTCTCTGATGTGCTGGGAAAGAAGAGAGCGCTAGAGGAAGCTCACCGGAGGGTGATGGGGACAGGGCCGAGGCTTCCTCTCTTTGACCCGCGGGTGCCGCCGAAGCTCCCATTTGGTATGGATGATGTTTACGCTGATGGGGTGGAGAAGGTGGACTTCTCTGGGCTGTGTCGGCAGAAAAAGGAGGTGAACCTGGCCATGCATCAGTAGGAGGTTCCCTTGGTGAACGTCTTCCTGGAAGGCGTGAAGAGTGACCCAGAGGTTCTGGTGAGGACCCCGGCTACCTCATATGCAGATCGGGCCCAGAAGACGCTCCTGACCCAGGCCTATGTAAGTTGGCTTGCCTTAAGACTCTGTTCATATAATTCGAATTTGCCTTTAACTGATCATGCTTTGTGTTGCAGGCTTATGGCGAGATGTACGTGAATATGGCCAAGGCAGATAAGGAGATCCAAAGGTTGAAGAGGCGCAATGAGATGGCCAAGGATAAGATAGCGGAGGTGCAGGAGGCCATCCAAGAGAAGAACACCCTGGTGCTGCAGAAAGCGGCGATGGCCAAGGGAGGAAGGAGCTGAGGCGGTCGAGGGCCGAGGAGGTAGCTGCTGCCCGAGTCGAAGCGATCGAGTCGTTTCGGGGTTCGGAGGAGCTGAGGAGCTATATCATGGATCAGATGATGGCGATGCAATTGGGTTGGGAGGAGAGGGTGGCGATGTTCAACCCTTCGGTGGAGATTAACTTTGACACGAGTGGCGAGCCTCCCTTATGTAGTCGTACCACTGATGCTGCTCCAGAGCCAGAGCCAGAGCCAGCCACCACGGATGCTCCATCGACCGAGTCTTGAAGGCGTTGCCTTCTTTATGTATTCTAGCTTTTTAGTTGAAACACTTGATGTTTATTTGGATTATGTATGAACAGTTTGCCTTGCCTGGGGCAAGGTTAGTTTGATGTGCTATGATATGAGACTTGTTGTCATTTGATATCAATTGTGCTTAGCAAAATGAGAATCATGTGATTGATGAAAATGAGCCAGGGTCGGGCGTTCATTAAATATGTGCCGGAAGGTAAAAATTACAAGAGTTGGTTGAGCCAAGGCTCGAGACCAAAGTCTAAGAAAACATAATGGCCTGGGGTCTAGGTACGTTTACTTATAGTAGTACTTGAGGTGATCAGCATTCCAAGGATAAGGCAAGGTCTTGCCCTTGGTATCACGAAGCTGATAAGTGTCGGGGCGGCAGACTTTGGTAACCTCATAAGGACCTTCCCATGTTGGGCCCAAGGTACCTTTAGTAGGATTCTTAGTGGCCAAGGAAATCTTGCGCATGACCCAGTCCCCAAGTTTGAAAGCACGGGCTTTGAGTCGGGAGTCGTAGTACTTAGCGATGCGCGGTTTGTACGCGACATTACGCATGTTGGATTGGTCACGAAGCTCGTCAATGAAGTCGAGGTTCAGGGCTAGCTGCTCGTCATTGGCTTCGGCCTCATAAGTGGAGGTGCGGTATGTGGGCTGGCCAATCTCCACTAGTGCCACTGCTTCGGTACCAAAGGAAACAGAGAAAGGTGTTTCTCTCGTTGAGGTCCGGAAGGTGGTGCGGTAAGACCAGAGGACCTCAGGGAGTAGCTCTGGCCAGCAACCCTTAGCTTTGTCAAGCTTAGTTTTTAGAGTTTTCTTGATGATCTTGTTCACAGCTTCCACCTGGCCATTAGATTGAGGATGGGCTGGGGAGGCGAAGCAAAGCTTTATCTTGAGGTTGGAGCAAAATTGCTTGAACTTTGCATTGTCAAATTTCCGGCCATTGTCTGTGACGATGGTGTTGGGGATGCCAAAACGATATAGGATGTTTTGCCAAACAAAAGTTTCGATGCGGGCTGCAGTGATGGTGGCTAAGGCCTCAGCTTCAGCCCACTTGGTGAAGTAATCCAAAGCTACAACCGCATACTTGACTTGGCCCTTGCCCTCAGGCATAGGTCCGATGAGGTCGAGTCCCCATTGGGCGAATGGCCAAGGACTGAGCATGGTTGTCAATGG